TATCTTTTATTCCGCATTTTTCCTAGACAGACTTGTAATAGGTGGATATTCTGTATTAGAGGCTCATATTCGTGACACCGGATTCTATTGGGCTATGGTGTGGAATTTTAGTTGAATTTCCGCAGGTTTTATTATTAATTATACACTTGAGAGTGATGACTTAGTAAATTCTCTGTGATATTTATCTATAATCTGAATAAGAATTTGGGATAATGTTGTTGAATGGTCGGGCTTGCCTAGCAGTGTGTTGGGCGCCATCATGGCCGGGGTTGGGGTCGTGACACAAAATTTCATGTATACTATATTTACTATGTGTAAGATCAAGTCACAATCTTAAAATATCAAATTTTCATGTTTCGATTTATCATAAAGAATCAAGTGAAAATTTATGTAAAACAACAAGTACAAGAAGCAGCAGGTGTTATATCTACTGGTGAGGTTTTAAAATATGGTGCACAAGAATGTGGTGATGCTTTGGATAATACAGAAACTACAGGTGCAAAGGCAGTGAATAAAGAGGATAAGTGCCCTCAAATCCTGTAAATGTTCAGGCCAATGCTGGGGTACAAACAACTTTTTTAAATGCTGCAACTAATAATTTGGAAGGACATGAACATGCTTCAACTTCCTCCAATAAAGATGGACTTAATAAGAACACAATTGGGAATGATTGGACTGTGGTAAGGGAAGCTTTTACCAAGCAGAACACACCTACAGGTGCGAAGACACAACAACAGAAGACGAGGGGTTCAGGTGATCGACGAAATGCTCTACAAACTGTCGCCAGTCCAAACGGATTTGAAATCCTAGCAGATGAGGAGGGTGTTGATATAAGCTCATCAACTCTAAATGATCCTAAACTGTTGCATTAAATAATTCCAGCTACTACCTGTGACAATGCAACCACAAGCGAGACATTGTGTTTTCTTCTAAGGAATTGAGTATTCGACGTAATGCTTCGGAGAACAATTTAGTTGGGATTTCAAGCCTAAACTAAAACCCTACAAACAATTAACAGAAAACACAAATGAAACGGACAAAATAAAGGTCCAAAAAAGTACTTAAATATCTACAAATCTAAAGGAAAAAACCCGCAATCAATAAAACGTCTATCTTAAAGAACCCACAAATAATTAATCACAAGAAAACCAACGAAATACACAAAGTAAGCAAACAAATTAGTCTATTTAACCAATGAAATACACAAAGTAAGCAAACAAATTAGTCTAATTTCGTTTACCCAGAACCCAAATTAATCTATTTAACCCAAGAAAAAAAACACAAAGTAAGCAAACAAATAAAGGTCCAAAACAGTACATATCAATAAATCTATAGTTACCCAGAAGCGAAATTAGTGAAAACGAAAACCCAAATTAACGAAGCATACCCAAAATTAAACAAAACAAAATTACTTCTTTTTAGCATAAGAATCTGAAATTATAAAAAGTTCAAAGCTTTGAGTATAAAAGAAAGATTGTACAGAGGTACCCAAATATTGTACACAATAAAAGATTATTTTTTCATCCACATTACTAAGAAACTAGAAAAATTGAATCTTAAAGTATAAGAACAAAACTAAAAATTGAAAAAAATAGAAAAATTTTGAGCAAAGAAATACTTACCAATAGAGAAAGGGATGGAGATTTGCAATATATGGGTGAGAGTAATCTGAAGATATATGCAATAGAGAATTGAAAGGAATAAATTAGGTTAAGGAGGCAATTAAGGTGAAGCTGCAGTGAGAGAAAAAATTGGGGAAAGATCGATGATATTGTACTGGAGGGAAATATTTTCATTAATTCTAATATCTAGGGGGAAATTTTGCGTGAAATTTTATATAAGAAATTTTTAGACTTTTGCCTATAGTTCCTAACTGAACGTCGTCGATCTTTAGCCTTATTAGAATTGGGGCAAATATTTTATAAAGTGCAATTTTTGTGGGAAATTGTTGGGGAAATATTTTATAAGAATTTTTAGGCTACGCATGTAAAGTGTTGTATTTAATATGACAATATAACAACTCTTTAAAAACGTAGCAATACACCTAAGAAGCGTGACCAAAGATTTTAGATTTATGCAACACTTAAAAAATGTTGTCTTTATATTAAAAGGAACGCTTTATAAGTGTTACCTTAAAAGCTGTGGCCGAAGACTATACTCAAAGGCCACGCCTAAAAAGTGTTCCTACAGATACTTTTGACAACACTTTTTAAGAGTCGCCTAAATTAGTGTGGTTGTAGGCATAAAATGTTGTAGTGCCGCATCTAACCATTTAATCACTTCCTTTTTCACCACTTCTTTCATATTGGGGTTCATACTTCTTTGATGTTCTCTAGAAGGTTTGTGCCCATCTTCCAATAGAATCTTATGCATACAGAAGGCTGGGTTAATCCCCATAATATCTGCAATAGTCCGCCCAATTGCAGTCTTGCACTTAGTTAGTACCTGCAAAAGTTGTTGTGCCTGCACATCTAACAAACTAGCTGAGATAATAATAGATAAAGTTGAGTCAGGTCCTAAGAATGCATACCTGAGATGGGATGACAGTGGCTTCAGTTCCAACTTTGGTGGCTCTTCTATTGACGGCTTAGCTGGAGGAGTTTTTCTTTCCTCCAAGTGTAAAGGCTCAAATTCAAGCTCCATTTTCCAAAAACCTAGGCTTTCAAGAGTAAGTACCCATTATGCCAAGTCTTCACCATTAGCTTTATCTAAGTTCATGAGACAAGATGTTAGAGGGTCTTTAATGTTCAATGCTTCATCGTCCTCCTCCAATACTACATCCACCGCATATATTAGAGAGCAATTGGCAAATTCACTGGGTCAACACATAGATTTCTACACGTTGAATGTTATCTCTTCATCGTTTAATCTCATCTTGAGCTCTCCAGTTTCACAATCAATTGAAGCTCTCCCAGTGGCCAAGAATGGTCTTCCCAAAATTATGGGAATTTCCTCGTCAACCCGACAATCAAGGATGACAAAATCTGTTGGGAACACAAACTTCCCAACCTGTACCAATACATCATCTAGAATCCCAGAAGGTCTCTTCACTGTTCGGTCAGCCAACTGTAGCATGGACGTAGGTCTAGCTCTTCCAATGCCTAGCCTTTTGTAGATATCTAGGGGTATAAGGTTTATGCTTGCTTCCAGATCACACAGTGGCTTAGCAAAAGCAAAGTTTCCTATTGTGCGAGGGATTGTGAAACTCCCGAGGTTAGACAGCTTCTCGACTATAGGTCTCATCACAACAGCATTGTAGGTTTGAGTTAGTGTAACCGTGGCCAAGTCTTGAAAATTGAACTTGCGGGACATCAAATCCTTCATCATCTTTGCATAACTAGACATCTCCTTTAACGCATCAATCAATGGAATGTTTACCTAAATCTGCTTCAACATCTCCAAAAATTTCTTGTACTGCTCATCTTTCTGATACTTGGCCAATCTCTGTGGAAATGGTGCTAGAGGTCGCTTCTTCCCTGTGATTTGATTTTTCTCTTGTTTAGGCACTGCTTCTACTGTCGGTTCCGGTGCAGCCTCAGTCTCTTTCACAATCTCTTCCTCCTTGTTGGTGTTCTCTTGCACATTTTGAATCATCACCTCAGTTAAACCTACTGAATCATCTATCTCAATAGGTACTGTCACTAGTGTCTCAGTCGGTCTGCTTTCACGAGTAATTTCTTGCTCCAGATCTAAGTCTCTACCATTTCGAGGACTCACCGCCATCAGCTACTTTAGGCCCTGCTCTTTTGGATTGATTAGGGTATCTGCAGATAACGTCCCATGAGGACGATTATTGAGGGCCATGGAAATCTGTCTTAACTGGATCTTAATATTCTGAATCACTGACTCATGTAAGTCTACTATGTCAGCTAGTTTTCCAGTGGACCCAATCACTTGTTGAATCATTCCTTCGAGTTTAGCAAACCCATCTTCATGTCTCACAATCTATTGTTGTGGAGATTGTTGATAAGCCTACTACTGATTTTGCTGGTTGTACCCTTGTTGCCTTTGGCAAGGCACCATTTGCCCCTGTGGTCGCATTGCCCCATGATTATTGTTGTTATTGTACTACTGCTGAGCTGGTCTGTATTGTTGATTCTACTGACCCTAATTCTAACCACCTAGCCTCAGTCCCCCGTAGTTGGCCACATGATTCATGTTCTCCTGGTATTGTTGATTATCACCTTCAGCACTCCATGAGCAGACATATGGTTGATTAATGCATAATGTACATAGACCCCCATTGGTCACATCAACTATGTGTACCCGTTGCTTCTGGCTTGATTCTTAACCATTTTGGTGAGGATGCTCATTTGTGTCATTAGCGTGTCCATATTTTTAGCTATGGAGTTGGCCGGGTCTAGAGCCACTGAGTGAACGACAGGAGTGATTGGAGCATTTCTTATTTTCCATCCTGAGTTTTGTGCCATCTTGTCAAGTAGGACCTTGCTCTCTCTGAATGTCTTGCTAAAAAATGCTCCACCTGCTGAAGCATTAACATTGGCTTTTAAACTATCTGCTAAACTCATATAAAATATCTACCCCAACATCTGTTTCGAAATACCATATTGTGGATACTTAACCAGCAGACCCTTGAATCTCTCCTATGTTTTGTGTAGTGTATCAGTTGGTTTCTCTCTGAAGCTCAATATCTCATCAATTTATTGAGAAGTATTGTTGGGTGGATGAAATTTGCTCAAATATTGCTTAAATAATTCCTCCCAAGTAGTGATGGAGTTGATGGGGAGTGAATTAAGCCAAGTCTAGGCTTCTCCTGCCACTGAAAATGGAAACAACAACAAATGTATTGCTTCCGGCGTCACGTTGTGCTGCCTCTGCATAGCACAGATTGACAAGAAATTCTTTAGATGCTGATGAGGATCTTCAACGTATGACCCAGAGAATAGTCCTTTGTTCTGCAACAGATGTAACATGTTATTTGGGATTTGGAATGAATTTTCGTGTATCTATGGGACTACAATGGCAGTTGCCAAGTTGTCAGCGGTAGGTTGTGACCAATCATATAGTGTTGGTTATGGCACAAGAGGCGCCACACCCTGATCATTTGGGTCATTTACGTTGTTTCTGTTGTTGTTTGCTTTTTCTGTTTGCACGATTCATTTCCTTGAAGACTTTCTCAGGATCTGATAATGCTTCAAGCAGTTCACAAGTTCTTGAGGAGTTTCTAAGCATGCACCTGTAACAACCACGGCTACAAACGTTAGAATTTCAATGGTTAGTTTAAATTGAAGAAAATTGACTACCCTAAGAATTTTTGCACTTCTTTTTAACTGCAATTAATAACACCATTAATTCTCTCGCAACGGCGCTGAAATTTGATCACGCCCAACTATACCTTATAAAAAGGACAAAGCGGTCTGTTTACCGTGAAAATAGTAATAGCAATTAAATTTGATTATGAGGTTCTAAAAATACGTGATCTATTTTTATGCTAGTTGTTAAGCAATGGATGTTGAGTAAAAGGTTAGAAATCAAGATTACAGCTTAGGAACAGTATGAAAATCGAACCAAATAGTTGGAAATCAGGGCCTCGAGCCGTGTGCCTTGAGGTCGAGTTGGGTAACTAGCTTAGAGTGATCAAGGGAGGACTAACACTTTATGAGAGCTACGGCGATGGCTCTTTATGATCAATGATAGGCCTTAAATGATGAAAAATAAATTGAACACAATAAATATAAGCAATAAATGAAGTAATGAGATCAAGAGAATATGTTAGACAACAGAGAGAATGTTCTTGTGTATTTAGTATAGAGCAACATATGTTTACAAAATGGCAAGTATCCCCTTTATATATGAGGGGGAATTCCAACATAGTACAAATGCATTAATTATAAAGATATGAGCTGGTACAACCATTTAGTATCTTGATTCGTTTTGGACTAGTCCACTAGGCTTTGTCACCCCAATTTACGCGCCTTGGGAACTCCCCACTTTTTCATAATAACTGCTGGTTTGTATTGCCTCGAGGTTGAGCGCCAATAGCCCTTCGTAGGTCAGCCTCGACCATAGCCTCGAGATTTTAAGATGTGCTTATGAGCCATCGTAACGACGGAAGATTGGACCCTCCAATTTTACCGTATATAGATAGTCCCCGCATTTCTTAGAGTGGAACGATAAGAAACAACTTTGATACCCATCTCTTCAAACTTCCCGCTATGATGTCATACTTATGATGCAAGCCTTTGCGATAACTGAGGCATCCCGTTGACTCGCCTTTTGCAGAGCCATTCAATGTACTATTGGTTCTTATTCTCCAAAGCGATAATATCGCCACCGATTCAGTTCCCAAAAATGCATTGATTGTGCCTGCCAATACATCTTTCAAAGATATTGATTGAGTTGTCGGTTACACCGCCACACTCTATAAATGGGAGCCTCCTGGAACCAACTTTTCATTCAAGTGTCCTCCAATATCCTTCCACCCTTTTCCTCTCCTCATCCTCATCCATCGTTATCCCTCATGTTTGAGGCCCACAGACTTAAGGTTACATGGCGGCATTCTCGTCAGCCACGCCAGGCCTTTTTCCTGGGCTTTCCCTTGCCGAGCGAGATTACACTGACTTGTCATTGTTGTTGTTATTGTTGCCGTTGTTGGCTCGAGGTGATGAGATAGGGTGGCCGATTTCTTCCGACTTGGGAAGATATTTGGACTCTACCCCGCTGCTCAGGAGGTTGTTCGGACTATACACCGCTGCTCACCTCCCTACTCCGGTCTGGTGTGGCACTTTATCCATTTTGCTTTTCGTGGGGTAAAGTGGCACTAACGACCGCTAACTTGCACGGCACAATGTTCCAAGAAGTGGACTCAAAGTACCCGTGCAGGTAAGGTCGGTGCTCGCCAAGTCTCTTATCGGGTCGTGGCTTTTTCTTCATCTTTTTCTGCTTCTTCACTTTTCTCTTCTTCATCTTATCCCTTGGAGATATCATTTTGGAAGACTGAGATGAGACCCCCCAGGAGTGGCACTCGAAAATACTGCCACCGAGGATGCATCCCCGAGAATAGATTAGGCTCTTAGCTTTTACTATATGTGTATTTTTCTTCTTCTTTGTATCTGTGTAAGGACCCTTCGTGGGATTTTGTAATCATGTGCTTATGAATACTAAGATGTTTCTTCAATTTACCTTTGATTTATGCTATATTTATTTTTATCTACGTTTGTGGAGAATCTGAATGCACGACTCCACCGATTGATGCGAATATTGAGCACGGGTGCAAGTGTTTCTTCTGGCCCTTAATTGATCAAAATGATTCCCCGTAGAACCCTTTGCCATTCCTTGGACCGAGCCTAAATTGGTTTGATAAAATTGAGTCATCGGGATCCCCGACTCTGAGTTGAATGAGAGTAGGGTTTCGAACTTTCAGTACGAGACTTAGCCTTTTAGACCCCGCGATAGTCCTCGATGGGAGGATTTGCTCAGATGCCTGAGAATAAAGATAGCCTTTGGGCTTTCAGGAGCAGCCCCAGAGTGGGGGTTCGCTCAAGCTCAGGCTACCTGAAGACTTGCTTTGAACTTAGTGTAGATAGCCTTAAGGCGTCACAGATAGATCCCGGATGAGGGCTTACCCGGGTTTGGATGGTACCTCGAGGCCAAGCACGTATGAGTAGGTTCTTAGCTTTTTGAGAGAGGAGCCCTCGATATCGGGTACCATCTTGAGTCTCGCAATGATATTAATGGCCCCTTAGAGCATAAATCTTCTTCTTGGTGGAGGACCTCGAGATTGGGTACCATCTCGAGGCCTGTAATGATGCTAATGGCTTCCTCGAGCCGATCTTCTTCTTGCAAAGGTCCTCGAGATCGGGTACCATCTCGAGGCCTGTAATGATGCCAATGGCTTTCTGGAGCCTATATTCTTTTTGGTGAAGGTCCTCGAGATCGGGTACCATATCGAGGCTTGTAATGATACCAATGGCTTCCTGGAGCCTATCTTCTTTTTGGTGGAGGTCCTCGAGATCGGGTACCATCTCGAGGCCTGTAATGATGCCAATGGCTTTCTGGAGCCTATATTCTTTTTGGTGAAGGTCCTCGAGATCGGGTACCATATCGAGGCTTGTAATGATACCAATGGCTTCCTGGAGCCTATCTTCTTTTTGGTGGAGGTCCTCGAGATCGGGTACCATCTCGAGGATTGGTTGATGTGGGGTCTCCAACCCCGAAACGTTGTATGGCGGTGTCAAGTGTATGACACGGTTACGAAATGACCGAGGCAATTCCGCCGGCATATCTTTCCAAATCGATAAAAGCTTTAGCCATTATTTTTAATAGGAGAGGAGCACCTTGAGTTGGTGAGGAAGGATTGTGGATGGGGAGAAAAGGTAGCATTA